TTAGTTATTATAATAATGATGATGTAATTGTAGATACTGTCTGTGAGAACTAGTAACAACTACTACAAACAAGTTTAAACCCATAAAGAAGTTGATGAAAAAAGGGAATTGTGATCAACGTGACATATGCAAATGGAAAGTACTAAGCCAACACCATCACTGTAAAAGCAGATGATCTCTTCTATGGGAATACTGTAGGTCAAATATTGTCAGCTCAGTTAAACTTTTTTAATTTATTGTTTTTATTTGTTTTATATAGTGCCAGTGCTCAAGGACGCTTTACAAACAGTAGGAGAACAAGAAAAGCAATAACCTTAAGAAGGTTGAGAAAATGGGAGACTAATAATACATAAAATAATGACAAAAGACACGAGAACAAGTAACAAATGAAACTCATTCCTTTTTTTCAATGAGTGCTTATGTGAATTTAGGAGAACTAGGCAGCACACTCAGGACTGCAAGATGGATTTAATTTAGTATTATTATTAAAATATATCTGAATGAGGATCAAATGACTTAGTTGGTGTTTGAGAATGAAAATTAACCTGTTTGTTCCTGCAGATCTTCCTGTTTGACTGTGAATGTTTCTTCAATCTTCACATCTTCACTCTCCTCTTTAATAAACGCCATCTTTATAACAGTGTGGAGATCAGTCGCTTCAGCAGGAGTTTTTCTGTGTTTAGACACTTTATCCTGTTTAAAATGAACAACACAATAAAAAAATGTCCTGTTTAAAAAAAAATAAAACAATGAACAGAAACAAAATAACTTCTCTTCAACACTTGCTTCAACAGTTTCCTTATATGACAGTCATTAACAAACAGAAATCAGGTAAGTCTGAGCAAGAAACAATAGACACAAATGAGCCGATTAAGACTAGTACTCCATTTCTTATATATAGTGATGTATTCTTCGAATAGAATGTCATTATGCTATTTAATGAATTAAACCTTCACTAAAACACTTATTACAAACTTTACTGTTGCTTTATTCAAACTTTAACAAATGTTGTTAATTATTGTCTTTGTTTTATTTATTTTATTGTCTGCTTACAGCAACGCTGTAGAACTTATTTTGCACAAGACAAGAATTTCCTCTTGGGAACAAATAAAGTTTATCCTATTTTATTCAAACAATAGACCTTACTGTGAGTAAAATAATACTTCTTTGTATAAACGGTTAAAATAATATTGTCAACAGCAGGTACATTTAGCATTAAACGAACACACTGAAATTTTAATCAGTCGGTTTACATCTGTGTAAAAGCTTTAAAAACAAACCTTTCTCCAGTTGAATCACAGTGTGGGAGCGGCGCAGCATTATGACATCACACCACCATGCCACAATAAAAGTCTTTTTTTTTTCCCCCATTTATTCTTTATCATGACTTATTGATACATTTCTCCCTCGTTTTCCACTTTATACTTTATCTGCTTTCTGTTTTGTACTTGTAAGACCATCATTTATGTTAATTGAATAAACCCATTTACCCCCACTAGATCTTTGCCTTCAGGTAGGTTGGTAAGAGGTTGCATTTTCTTTAAACGATTGCATTTCTTCATCCATAGCTTTAACCCATTTACTTGCATTCACTGATGTTACCACCTCTTTGTATGTTTGAATGGGAAACATCAAATTCTCCAAAATTGCCTGCCAGGTTCCAACCTATATATGTAATAGGTTGAAACTTATTTATAACCAAATAAACAAACAAAAAAACAAAACAGTTGTAAAGAAGCTTTTTAAAATGACTGAAGAACTTAATACAACGTTGAACAGTGCATCCACGCATGTTTAGATTTTACAATTTATAATGTTAGCATTCAGATATTATTTGAGTGTAAATTCAGAATGTGCAACTCACCTTTCCAGTCTTCAATGAAGAAGTGGGATGAGAAAAGGCATCAGTGGGTTTTTCTTTGTATGTTGTTGTTAGTAATAATCCCAATGTAGGAATCTACAATCGTAGTTTGTCCTCCAAAGTTGTTTTCTTATAGCAAAATAAGCCAATGAAGATTCTTTTAGGAACCCAGAATATATAGATGCAACCCTGCTGAGATACTGGATCTGGAATGTGATTGGATAAGACTCAATTGGCCCCCATTAATGCTGGTATAAAGATGCAAATGAGCAATGGGGAGCAGTGAAGACTCAAGACACATACAGTGGGGGATGGGAAGTTCAGCAGCATTACAAATCAGTTTTACAGAGAAATGATGTATTGGGAAAATAAGTTGACTTAAGCCATCTTTATTTGTTTTGCTGCTGTTGTTTTATAGTACTATTGATGACAGCTTTTTATTATTTTGGCTGCTGCATTTTGTAGTTAATGTTGATACACTTATGATATGTAACACATTTCAATTAATTTTTTCCCAAGCCTGGTTAAAAGGTAGTGCAAGAGTTGTGTTTTTTTTTGCAGAAGCTTCTCAGTCTCTTGGCTGAAGTATTTGTTTAAAGATGCAAATGAGCATTGAAGACTCAATTCATACCGATTTCTCAATACACACAACTACATTCACTTATATAATAGTGATAGAAGATGTATACTATTAAACTGTGATATATTATCATTCGTTGAAAGAAACAATTTCTAAACTTCACAGTGAAGTTTTATTCATGTTAGGTTCAGTCAATATATTGACATGAGCTAACTTTTAGCAATGTTTTAGTTATTTATTTATCACTGAACTTGTTCTTTATTTGAGTTTAGAGTCCTTTATTTCTCTTAAAGCACATGCAGCTCATTACTGACTTTTGTAATAGTCAACACACTCTTAACAGATCAATTATTTACTTACAAAAATGTCTATAGATTTTAACTATTAAAATGTAACTTGTTTCTGTGCCAATTTTTTGCCTCTTATTCACCTGGTATGTATTAAAGAAGTTTATCCCTCTATTTATCACTTGTGTTTGTGCAAACAAATATGCATAGACATTCACAAAAGCATATATAAGATACCATGTGACAAACCTTTTCCTTTTAACACAGTAAAGCTATCAGTTACTGTGATGCATCTAAATATTTATAATCAGAAAATAATTACATCTCAAGTTAAATTATTGTATAGGCAGTTTATACAGAATAATTCAATGACAAGAGTTCACTTTCATATCTACACAATGCAGAACTGTTAATGTGATTAACCTGCTCCACCTACACCAACTAAATCATTTCTCAGACTTACTCCTTTAACCTGTTTGCAACAATGAATTTTAAATATCTGTGTAACATATTCATTTAAATAAATGGCTCATCATTGTGTGCAATCATCTTTAGTAATAGCTGCCTGATCATTAACTGAATAGGACCGTTTAACATATAAGAAACCCGTTGACAGGTATAGCTGTTCATGCCAATACCAACTTGATAGACTATTACATGAACATATTACATGAACAGGACCTGCCTAACATCTCTTAAGAAAAATAAGCATAGTGTCTATAACAATACATGCTTAATTCTCCAGATCACTACATCTGAATCGTGCCTTTTGACCTGTTTTAAAAATAACAACCATTTGTAAGCATAGTTCTTCACTAATACCAGTTTACCTCAAATAATTACACATGTGAGTGCAGTAGTGCAGTGGGTAGCTCGATCGCCTCACAGCAAGAAGGTCGCATGTTCAATCCTCAGCTGGGTCAGTTGGCATTTCTGTGTGGAGTTTGCATGTTCTTCCCGTGTTTGTGTAAGTTTCCTTCGGATGCTCTGGTTTCCCCAAAGTCCATAGACATGCGGTATGCATGCAGTGTGAATGAGTGTGTATGCATGTTTCCCAGTAATGGGTAGCAGCTTGAAGAGCATTCGCTGTGTCAAGCATGTGCTGCATAAGTTGGCGGTCCATTCCACTATGGTGACCCCTGATTGATAAAAATAATAAAAATAAATGAATACATGAGTAATATCACACGAGTAGCAGTGCGGTGTAGCCTTCTATCAGTTTTTGTATTTCTATTTGTTGTAATGGCCTGTTGTTATTGCAATAAAAAATGAATAAATACATTTTAAAAAAGCAGTGCAATGTGGCTGTAGGCTGTATATCAGCACTGATGGGAGGCGTGTGTTACAGTGTACACTAAGCACTCAAGAACGATTGTCCCTCTACCTGTTGTTTAATCCCCTGAGAACTTTGCTCATCTTTAGAACTCAAATGAAGACACTTTAGATGAAATAAGAGAGCTCCTTCATCTGTCATAGACAGCAAGAGTGCCGAAATGCTCAAAGTCCAGAAAAGGAACCAAAAACATTGTCAAAACATGTGACATATGACTTTAGTGGTTCAATTGTAATCGAGTTCCAAGAACATTTTGTGTGCCAGAAAATGTTAAAAAAAGCAGCCAGGTCCAAAATGAGAACAGCTAAACCATGTCTGTTTTTGCCTCCGTATTCTCTTCATTTGCATTCAGCAGACGAAACTCAAACAGGTTTGGCTCAAGTAGAGGATGAGTAAATGACAAAATTGTGATTTTTATGTGAACTATCCCTTTAATGCTTCTGTAAGTAAAGGTAAATTAAACATTATTACTGAAGATATTGCTAAAGAATGGCAGGAAACGTGGAACACAGATAACAAGAGACGACAATTCATGTGGAAAAAAGGAAACTGTAAATATACCTATGATGTTGTAGAAATAGAAAAGAAGAGGTTATAATTATAAGGATGAGATTTGGACTCAGATATTATTTATTCATTTTCTTGTCAGCTTAGTTCCTTTATTAATCTGGGGTCGCCACAGCGGAATGAACCGCCAACTTATCCAGCAAGTTTTTACACAGCGGATGCCCTTCCAGCCTAACCCATCTCTGGGAAAACTCAGATATTAATAGGAAGTAATGTGTTGCAGACATACATCATAAGTGGATTAAAAAAGTTAAGAAAATGTTTAGATTTAAGGTTTGTGTGAGAGAAAGCAGATATAGTGTAAAGTAAAAACCATGGGAGAAATATATCAATAAGTCATGACTGCAAAAGTAAGTGGCAAGAAAGCTAAACAAGAAAAGACTTTTATTTTGGCATGTGACGTCATCAGACGGCGCCGCTTCAGCGCTGTGATTCAACTGGAGAAAGGTTTGTTTTTAAATGTTTACAGATACAAACCGATTTATATTTGTTATACGATGCTAAATTATGTTCCTGTTGTTGGAAATATTTTAATCCTTTATTCAACGTAGTACTATTTTATTCTCAGCAACCGAGGTCTATTGTTTGAATAAAGTAACAGAAAAGTGTGTAATAAGTGTTTTAAAGAAACGTTTTGTTAATTACTCTCATGTAAAGAAACCGTTGAAGTGTTGAAGAGAAGTTATTTTGTTTCTGTTCATTGTTTTATCTATTTTAAACAATAGAGGTAAAGTTGGTTTTATATTCACACATTCGTTCATTTAGAAGTCTCTATATTGTTTACCATGTTACTTTGAATATTCGAGTGGAATTAGCATGCAAGTATGACTTGAAAACAACATTAACACTGTTTATTTAACTGTGAACAATGCTTTACTTTGATAGTCATTGGCTGCTTATATGATTTCACTAATTAGATTTTGCAAATAATACTTTAATGAAATTATATTATTAAGGGGGAAGTCTGAATGTTTAAATATAAAACCAACTTTACCTCTCTATTTTTAAACAGGGCATTTTTATTGTTTTATTCGTTTTAAACGGGATAAAGTGTCCAAACAGAGAAAAATTCCTGCTGAAGCGACTGATCTCCACACTGTTATAAAGATGGCGTTTATTAAAGAGGAGAGTGAAGATGTGAAGATCGAAGAGACATTCTCAGTCAAACAGGAAGATCTGCAGGAACAAACAGGTTAGTTTTCATTCTCAAAGACCAACTCAGTCATATAGAGGTAAAGTTGGTTTTACACATTCGTTTATTTAGGAGTCTTTATATTGTTTATAGCATGAGAGTATAACTTGAAATCACAGCATTTGACTGTGAACAATGTTGTACTTTGATAGCCATTGACTGCTAATTTGATTTCACTATTTAGAGTTTGCAAAAATAATTTTATAAAATTATATTATTAAGGGGAAAGTCTGAATGTGCGAATATAAAGCCAACATTACCTCTATAATTAAATCCATCTTGCAGCCCTGAGTGTGCTGCCTAGTTCTCCTAAATGCACATAAGCACTCATTGATAAACAGGAACGAGTTTCTTTCGTTACTTGTTCTCATGTCTTTTTTCATTATTTTATGTATTATTAGTCTCCCATTTTCTCTACCTTCTTAAGGTTATTGCTTTCCTTGTTCTTCTACTGTTGGTAAAGCGTCCTTGAGCACTGGCAATATATAAAATAAATAAATAAATAAAAACAATAAATTAAAAAAGTTTAACTGAGATGAGGGCGAGACAGTGGCGCAGTAGGTAGTGCTGTCGCCTTACAGCAAGAAGGTCGCTGGTTCAAACCTCAGCTCAGCTGGCGTTTCTGTGTGGAGTTTGCATGTTCTCCCTGCCTTCGCGCGGGTTTCCTCCGGGTGCTCCGTTTTCCCCCACAGTCCAAAGACATGTGGTACAGGTGAACTGGGTAGGCTAAATTGTCCGTAGTGTATGTGTGTGTGAGTGAATGTTTCCCAGAGATAGGTTGCGGCTGGAAGGGCATCCGGAATATTAAAGGGACTAAGCTAACAAGAAAATGAATGACTATAACTGAGCTGTCGATATTTGACCTACAGTATAGTAGTATATCATAGAAGATATCTGCTATTACAGTGATAGTGTTGGCTTAGTACTTTCCATTGGCATATGTCACGTTGATCACAATTTCCTTTTTTCATCAACTTCTTTATGCGGTTAAACTGTTAGAATTACATCATTATTATAATATCTAATTACCAGGGCTAATAAAAATTTTAGGCCTTAAAAAGTCTTACATTTACTAAAGTATTGTGTTGTAGGTCTTTATTTTTATTTTTTTTACCAAGTCTACATTTTTCTCTATTCATGTTTTGCTACTCAGCCTGTCCAAAATCACCAACAATCCATCTCAATAAAACTTAAAATTACCTTTTTAAATAAAAAGTTTAAACTCTATTTATCATAATAGTTTAATTATTTTTTCTCACAATAACTTTTGTTTAAATAAGCTCCATGTATTTCCTGCTGAGGATATCGACTGGCATAGATTTATTTTATTATAGTTTTTAAAACTTTTCAAAATATTTGTAAATTTTTTTAAATAATTTTTTAAAGGTTATTTTGAAAAACAATTATAAAACAATACAACTAGAGCTTTTGTTAAGAAATATCGAAAATATAGTTTTTTTTCATTATTCATTTATTATTGTATTATTAAATAAAAATATATATATTTTGAAAGGGCAAATTAAAATCTTTTCCATTTGGGCCATTTGAAAAATTTCTTTATGTCAGAAAGCTTGGATGCGCCCAATATTAAATATGCTGAATGAAATGGACACTAAAATAATTAACTGTTATAAAACATTGTACAGTATTCTAAACTATATGATGTTGTTGAGGGACGACATGAAGCAAAACTAACAATTTATAGTTGAACAATAACGTTTAGCATTGCACTGACTACAACTGGCCAACAAACTAGTCTAAAATGACTTTTGCTGTTTAAGAAATGGATTACAGCATGCTGATGATATGCAAACATTTGAGTGTAAAGATTGTCAGTATTAACCATATGCTTCACATACCAGCAGGTGCCGCCATTGGACTGTATTAGGCATGGGACAATGACAGTTTTCAAGGTATACCGCGGTTTAAAAAAAAGTTTTAAAACCATTATTTATGCTGTACCAACTTATCCAGCAAGTTTTTACGCAGCGGATGCCCTTCCAGCCGCAACCCATGCCTGGGAAACATCCACACACTCAATCACACACACACTCGTATACTACGGACAATTTAGCCTACCCAATTCACCTGTACCGCATGTCTTTGGACTGTGGGGGAAACCGAAGCACCCGGAGGAAACCCATGGGAAGGCAGGGAGAACATGCAAACTCCACACAGAAACGCCAACTGAGCCGAGGCTCGAACCAGCGACCCAGCGACCTTCTTGCGGTGAGGCTACAGCACTATCTACTGTGCCTCTGCTTCGCCCCTGTTGCAAAGTCATATTTTCTAATTTAATTTTTTTTTTTGTATGTATAGTCATGAACACATTTGTTTGTGGAGAAAGTAGCCGTTTATTAGTCCTAGTCATTTCTCCAGTAGGCAACTGAAGCTTTAAAACAATAGCATATGAGATCAGGGCCCCATTTCAGAAAGGAGGTTGAGTGAAAACTCAGAACATTTTAATCCTGAAACCCTGAATATGCTTCACGTACCAGCAGGTGCCGCCATTGGACTGTATTAGGCATGGGACAATGACAGTTTTCAAGGTATACCGCGGTTTAAAAAAAGTTTTAAAACCATTATTTCTGCTGTACCATCCATACGTTTTTTTTTACATTTTGTTTAAAGATTTTCAGGACAACAGTGTCTCCAGCAGAAAATATATCCAAAGATGCTGTTTTAAATAGTAAAAAAACTTAATTTGAATTATTTAGCCTGACATGTTTACTGCTCCAAAATACTTTCAAAGTTTCTCAAGTGAAAATATGTTGTGTTCAAAGGGGAAAAAAAAGTTTAGGTTTTTTAACCAGACATTTAAAAAGAATATATTTATAAATGGTAATCACAGTACTGAGAAATCATGATATTTTTAGTCAAGTTTATCACACCGTCAGAATCTTATACTGGTCTGTGACGGACTGAGCCAGCACATATAGTAAGGGGCATACAAAAAGTAGATTTTTAAAAATAATTATTTTTAATAAAGTCAAAAAAATTCTCAAAAACTCAAAAAAATAAATAAATGAAACAATTAAATCAATTGAAAAATCAATAAACTAAACAAAGAAAACAAAACTGAGTTCAAACCAAACTAATCATGAATAAACCAAAAACAGAACTCCTTGAAATGACAAGACTGACCACATTTATACCAGAGGGACTAGTCCACAGTAAACAAGAAGGGGGAGACAAAAACAGACAACAACAATAAACTAAGTCAAATATCTAAATACAAATCTAAATATTAGTTAAATAAATTCTAAATGAAGCAAAACTAAATATAAATCTGAACAAACACTGCAAATCATTAATGAACTTAAACTAAAGATCAGCTCTCCCTCCAAGCCATTAAGCCAATGGTATCGATTGGTGGAACCAATAGATGCCACTTTGCGGCACGTCTGCCCTTTAGTTTGTTGGACTACATCCAGAAACTCCGTTCCTCGTCGACACTGCAGCACGGTAACTTAAACTCAAAACAAAACTAAATTAACAAAACATACACCACACTGGCCATCACATGGTCCATGCTTAATGCTGCTTGATGTTGCAAAGTCATTCATTCATTCATTTTCTTGTCGGCTTAGTCCCTTTATTAATCGGGGGTCGCCACAGCGGAATGAACTGCCAACTTATCCAGCAAGTTTTTATGCAGCGGATGCCCTTCCAGCCACAACCCATCCCTGGGAAACATCCACACACTCAATCATACACACACTGATATACTACGGACAATTTAGCCTATCCAATTCACCTGTACCGCATGTTTTTGGACTGTGGGGGAAACCGGAGCACCCGAAGGAAACCCATGGGAAGGCAGGGAGAACATGCAAACCTTCTTGTGGTGAGGCTACAGCACTATCTACTGTGCCTCTGCTTCGCCCCTGTTGCAAAGTCATATTTTCTAATTTAATTATTTTTCTTTGTATGTATAGTCATGAACACATTTGTTTGTGGAGAAAGTAGCCGTTTATTAGTCCTAGTCATTTCTCCAGTAGGCAACTGAAGCTTTAAAACAATAGCATATGAGATCAGGGCCCCATTTCAGAAAGGAGGTTGAGTGAAAACTCAGAGCATTTTAACCCTGAAATGAGAGAAACTCTGGTATTTGCGTTTCAAAATGGCAAGTTTGTGAAATTCGAGAAAGCAGGGTAAGTCAAGCCTGTTTCTGAAAGAGAGGTAACTTGGTAACATACTCTGTGAACCTAACCTGGTCAGCAGGTTTTATTCTCTTTACTCTGTTTTGAGTTTCTGTCGGTCTCCTTTTCTTTTTTTTTTAAAATGAAGCAGTATTTCTCACTTAGCCTTACATATTCAGCCACCTATTTTTATGTGCATATTGGATAGGCTATGAGCGTAAAAAAAAAAACAGTTGATGGAAACATCATGATGCACATAACTTTTGAAATATAGGCATGAAAAAACATGCGCCAAATCTTCACCACATGGTTATTGTGTGCTGACATTGTCCTCTGAGGTGAAAGTCATTTATTAAACACAGAAAAGATTCATGTAGCTTCTCCTACCGCAGTAAATTCTGTTTTTACTGTTGAGATTTGGCGCCAGTTAATCAAGAAGTGACGATTTTGTTCTTTTTAAGTCATTAAATGGAAACGCTGATTCATTCATTCATTTTCTTTTTGGCTTAGTCCCTTTATTAATTGGGGGTCGTCACAGCAGAATGGACTGTGTACGTTTTGTTCATTTGTTTTCCATTTTTAAACGGAATAAAGGAAAGGAAAAAAATGGCCGTTTTTCTTTTGCTCACAAGAAAACGAAAAAACAACATTTTGGCTGGATTTTCGTTTTTTGGTTTAAGGTAGGAAAACGGATAAACAACTTTAAAATTCATTTTACACATGTAGGCGGTGCTGAAATGGCCACTTTCCTCTAATTGGTCAACTATTATTATTATTATTATAACCTTTATTTTACCAGGAAAGACACATTGAGATTAAAAATCAAATCTCTTTTACAAGAGCGTCCTGGCCAAGATT